GTTCTCAGTGACCCAGAATTAGTAAAGTTTGACTACATTTATTTCAGAAGCATTTTGGCTGTAGAGCAGTATAATAGTAGAGTTTTATAATGGAAAGTCCATATCCTCTTTCTCTAGAAAACTGACTGACATATGAGCTGTGACTTACAATAGTTTTAAGATTAGTGAATGACTGTATTCACTAGAAATATATGGAAATACACTAATCTTACCTAATCTAGCTCTCAGTGTTCATAGATGAGCAAAAGACATTTAAAGCTTTATACTTTCCTATAGTGGATCTTGGAGCATGAAATAACGCGTCATATTTTTATGTGTGCTCTATTTTTGCGACTGAGTGAAATGTGCCCCTTGCTGATGGATTAAAGGATATATACGAAATCTTACGTTCTTCAGAATGCTCCTCTTTCTTTCCTAGAGGAGGAGAAGCAAACAAACTCAAAGAAGTTCCATTATAAGGAAGTTTTTATGTGTAAACATACACTTCTCTACCTTTTTTTTTATTATTATTAATGGAGGTATCCTATCTCCTAGAACGGATCTTGAAAGATCATTGAGTCCAGCCCCCTACCTTCACTAATAGGAGCAAGTACTGATTTTGCCCCAGATCCTTAAATGGCCCCCTTAAGGATTGAACTCACAACCCTGGGTTTAGCAGGCCAATGCTTAAACCACTGAACGATCCCTCCCCTTAACTTACACCAAGAGCTCTCTTAAGGGCTCCCAAATGAACCATGAAATGGTCAACCACACTTGTTGAACTTGTGAGAGCAGCAAATGAGGCTTCTAGTGGCTGTGAAAAGACCAAGTAGCTGCCTCTGAAGCAGGCAAAAAGGCCTCAGATCTCACTTGTTCCACAGCAATTCTAGCTTTCCCAGCCACACCACTGAGAAAGAAGAGACGAGCAGAAAAAGATGTGCAAAAATATTTTTGCAAAAAAGAAGAGTTAGATTAGGTAGGTAGCTTATGTCGATAGTTTTGTGTGTCACTGCCTGCTTCTGTGAGGTACTGAGCATCCTCAATTAGGCCAAATCCATAAATCTTATTCAGGTGTAACTCAGGTAAAATTCTTTAAAGCGTTGATAGTTCTCGGAAAACATCCACTCAATGTGCATTAGTAGTCAAAAACGCTAACAGAATGTTAGTAACCATTAGGAAAGAGACAGATAATAAGAGTGAAAATAACATCATGGCACTATATGAATCCATAGTACGCCCACACCTTTAATACTGTGTGTAGTTCTGGACACCCCATCTAAAAAAAATGTATGTTAGAATTGGGAAAAGTACCGAGAAGGGCAACAAAAATGATTAAGGGTATGGAACAGCTCCCATTAGAGAAGAGATTTAAAAGGCTAGGATTGTTCAGGTTGGATAAGAGATGACAAAGGGGGAATATGACCGAGATCTATGAAATCATGAACGCTGTGGTGGAATAGAAAAGGGAAAAGGGAACTATTATTTACTCATTTGCATAACAGAAGAACTAGGGGTTACTTGATTAAATTAATAGATTTAAAACAAAAACAAACAAAGTACTTTTCACACAACACACAGTCAACCCCTGGAACTCATTGCTAGGGGATGTTAAAATTCACTAATTGTATTTTTAACATCTTGGACATCATAAATTAGCCACCTTCAGTGAGGTTCATGTGGAGAAATATTTGGATCCAGTACTTTTGCTATCAGTAAATTTGACCAGCATTGTGTGCTGTCAGTCAGCTTCTCCATTGTCTCTTTCAAGAAAAATTAACCTCATTCACTTGATTCCAAGGTAAAAAGGGACCATTGTGATCATCTAGTCTGATCACCTCTAGAACACAGGCCAGAGAATTGCCCCAAAATAATTCCTACACCAGAGTTTTTTTTGTTTTGTTTTCTAAAAAAAAATCCAATCTTGATTTAGAAATTGCCAGGGGTTGGAGACACAACCGCAACCCTTGGTAAATTGTTCCAATGGTTAATCACCCTCGCTATTAAAAATTTACACCTTAGGCAAATTAAAGAAAAGAAAATTGAGTTAACTTACTTATGCCTTTTCCAAGAAAAAAGATGACGGTCACAGCATTAGACAGCAATATATAGATAAAGGCATCTATGGAAAGATAAAACATGTTACTATCACCACCATGTAGCCTCAGACATGGGAAGTATTTCTAAGTGTTACAGTTTTGGACCTACAGTGGTAGCTACCTAGAGCCAGCTGGGACCTCCCAAAGACTCCACACCAGGGAACCAGGAGATGTCCTAAAAGGTGTTTGTGAAAAAGGTCCCTGAAGAGGGACGGGTGGAGGGATAGATAGGAGGGATAGATATGGAATCGGGTATCTGTTGCTGATGAATTCCAACGCCCAGTTGTCTGAGGTGATATTCTGCCATGTTGGATAGAATGTGGCTAGATGGTCAGTAAACTGATGGCTCTTGACAAAGCCTTATAATACGAAATTCTGAATTATAGAGTTGCCATTGAGAGATCTACCCTCTTCCAGTCTTTATTACTAGGGGTCATTTTGGAGTGATGTTGTCTAAGAACAAAGGTAACTAATAGTTAAAATCTCAAAAGCTATATTTATTGGAGAATAGCTGTGTGGGAACAAGTGACACAATGAATAGGGGGAGGGATAGCTCAGTGGTTTGAGCATTGGCCTGCTAAACCCAGGGTTGTGAGAACAATGAATATCATAGTGTCTGAGGCCAGAAGGAAGCACTCTTATCATCTATAACATGGTCCAGAGAATTTCCCCCAAACAATTTATGTTTACATTAGAGTAGATCCTTTAGAAAAAACATACAAGCTTGTTTGAATAAGTTCCAGTGATGGAGGATCCACCAGACCCCATGATAAACTGTTACAATGTATAATCATGCTCACTCTTAAAAAAATATGCCTTATTTCTAGTCTGACTTTCCTAATTTCAATTTCCAGCCATTGGATTTTACTAGACCATTCTCTGCTAGACTAAAGAGCCCATTATGAAATATTTGTTCTCTATGTACATACATGTAGATGCAATCAAGTCACCCCTTCTCTTTGTTAAACTAAATAGATTGAGCTCTTTGTGTCTATCACTATAACACATTATCTAATCCTTTAATCATTCTGGAGCTCTTTTCTGAACCCTCTCTAGTTTAATAGCTTTTTTCTTCAGTTGGGGACACTGGAACGGCACACAGTATTCCAGCAACACAGCGGAATACAGAGCTAATGTAACCTATATAGTCCTAATTAATATCATCCCCATGCCCTCTGGCCTGGGGCCTAGTGATCACTTTCCTACTGAAGGGGATGTGTGAGCTCCAGTGAAAGTGGTAAAGCTTTGCTGAGACAGAAATTACACCTGTTCCCATCACAGATGATATTTGTGGAATTGGCCTACCTGTGTGTCAGGAAAGGTGAGTGGGTTGCTGAACTGCACCACCCTGTGGAGCTCTGGGTGGGATTGTTCCTCAAGAGATGAACAGCTCCTCCTGGAGATTCCAGGCATGGAGGGGGACCGCACCCTCAGCATCCTCGTGCCAAGGGCAGGGAAGGCCAGGACACTCTTCTCCCAGAAAGGCACAGAATCACTGAGCATGATGCCTGTCTTCCAACAGACTTTTTAGCTTTGCTGTCATTCCAGGACGCTCTGCACTCTGCTGTGTGAGGGGAGAGCCCTCCTCATCAGGAAAAGTTATAGTGAAGTACAGTGAAGGCCCCTGAAGTTCCCAGAAGGAGTTTCCCATCCAAGGGGATGCTCTTGCACTTCACTGTGAATAATTCCCTCCTGGGGCAGGGTATTAAACCTCACAGAGTCCTACAGAAAGTTGCTTGGTGCAATCCAGAACAGGCTGGTAAACATTTCCCTGATAAAACCCCACTGTGTTTGATCATCTGAGAAATCAAAGAAACTCACTATAGTCATCCAGCTATTGCTTTGCAAAATTGCTGTATTAGAAGGAGCATTGCCAGCAGATCGAGGGACGTGATTATTCCCCTCTACTCGGCACTTGCGAGGCCACACCAGAAGTATTGTGTCCAGTTTTGGGCCTCACACTACAAGATGGATGTGGAAAAATTGGAAAGAGTCCAGCAGAGAGCAACAAAAATTATTAGGGGCTGGAGTTATGAGGAGAGGCTTAGGGAACTGGGCTTATTTAGTCTGCACAGGTGACGGGTGAGGGGGGATTTGATAGCAGCCTTCAACTATCTGAAAGGGGGTTCCAAAGAGGATGGATCTAGGCTGTTATCAGTGGTGGCAGATGACAGGCAATAGTCTCAAGTTGCAGTGGGAGAGGTCTAGGTTGGACATTAGGAAACTATTTCACTAGGAGGGTGGTGAAGCACCGGAATGGGTTACCTAGGGAGGTGGTAGAGTTTCCATCCTTAGAGGTTTTTAAGGCCAGGCTTGACAAAGCCCTGGCTGAGATGATTTAGTTGGTGTTGGTCCTGCTTTGAACAGGGGATTGGACTAGATGACCTCCTGACGTCTCTTCCAACCCTAATATTCTATGATACTAAAAGGACATACACCTCCATATGTCACATATTTGTCTTAAGAACGCATGGTCACACAAAAGGTCCATCTAGCCCAGTATCTTGTCGTCCGACAGTGGCTAATGCCAGGTGCCACAGAGGGAATGAACAGAACAGGTAATCATCATTAAGTGATCCATCCTCTGTAGCCCATTCCCAGCTTCTGGCAAACAGAAGCTAGGGACACCATCCCTGCTGATTCTGGCTAATAGCCATTGATGGACCTATCCTCCATGAATGTACCTAGTTGTTTTTTTAACCCTCTTATATTCTTGGTCGTCACAATGTCCTCTGGCAAGGAGTTCCCGAGGTTGACTGTGTGTTGTCTGAAGAAATACTTCCTTTTGTTTGTTTTGAACCTGGTGCCTATTAATTTCATTCCATGACCCCTACTTCTTGTGTTATGAGAAGGAGTAAATAACACTTCCTTATCTAGGTTCTCCAAACCAATCATGATTTTATAGACCTCTATCATATCCCCCCTTAGTTGTCTCTTTTCCAAGCTGAAAAGTCTCGGGCTTATTAATCTCTCCTCATATGGAAGCTGTTCCATACCCTAAACATTTTTGTTGCTTTTTTCTGAAACTTTTCCAGGTCCAATATATCTTTTTTTGAGATGGGGATGCAGTATTCAAGATATAGGTGTACCATGGATTTAGATAGAGGTAATATGGTATTTTCTGTCTTATTCTCTATCCCTTTCCTAATGATTCCCAGCATTCTGTTTGCATTTTGACTGCCGCTGCATATTGAGTGGATGTTTTCAGAGAACTATCCACAGTGACTCCAAGATCTCTTTCTTGAGTGGTAACACCTAATTTAGACCCCATCATTGTATATGTATAATTGGGATTATGTTTTCCAATGTGCATTACTTTGCATTTATCAACACTGAATTTCATCTGCCATTTTGTTGCCCAGTCACTCAGTTTTGAGAGATCTTTTTGTAGCTCTTTGCAATCTGCCTGGGACTTAATTATCTGCAAATTTTGCCACCTCGCTGTTTACCCCCTTTCCCAGATCATTTATGAATATGCTGAATAGGACTGGTACTAGTACAAACCCCTGGGGGACACCACTATTTATCTCTCTCCATTCTGAAAACTGACCATTTATTCCTACCCTTTGTTTCCTATCTTTTAACCAGTTACCAATCCATGAGAGAACCTTCCCTCTTATATCATGACTGCTTACTTTGATTAAAAGCCTTTGGTGAGGGACCTTGTCAAAGGCTTTCTGAAAATTTAAATACACTATATCCACTGGATCCCCCTTGTCCATATGCTTGTTTACTCCCTCAAAAAATTCTACGAGATTGGTGAGGTATGATTTCCCTTTACAAAAAATATGTTGACTATTTCCCAACAAATTATGCTCATCTATGTGTCTGACAATTCTGTTCTTTACTATAGTTTCAACCAGTTTGCCCTGTATTGAAGTCAGGCCTGTAATTGCCAGGGTCACCTCTCAAGACCTTTTTAAAACTTGGCATCACATTAGCTATCCTCCAGTCATTTGGTACAGAAATTGATTTAAATGATACATTACAGACTACAGTAAGTAGTTCTGCAATATCACATTTGAGTTCCTTCAGAACTCTTTGGTGAATACCATCTGGTCCTGGTGACTTATTATTGTTTAGTTTATCGATTTGTTCCAAAACCTCCTCTAATGACACCTCAATCAGGGACAGTTCCTCAGATTTGTCACCTAAAAAGAATGGCTCAGGTTTGGGAATCTCCCTCATATCCTCGACCGGGAAGACTGATGCAAACAATTCATTTAGTTTCTCTACACCAGCCTTATCATCCTTGAGTGCTCCTTTAGCATCTCAGTCATCCATTGGCCCCACTGTTTTTTTGGCAGGTTTCCTGTTTCTGATGTACAGAAAAAAAATTGCTATTACTTTTTGAGTCTTTGGCTAGCTGTTCTTCAAACTCTTGTTTGGCCTTCCTAATGATATTTTTACACTTCATTTGCCAGAGTTTATACAATATGGAGATATACCTATCTCATAGAGCTTGAAGGGACCCTGAAAAGTTATTGAGTCCAGGCCCCTGCCTTCTCTAGCAGGACCAAGTACTGATTTTGCCCCAGATACCTAAGTAGCCCCCTCAAGGATTGAACTCACAACCCCCAGTTTAAACAGGCCAATGCTCAAACCACTGAGTTATCCCTCCCCCCTTATTTTCCTCCCTAAGATTTAACTTCCACTTTTTAAAGAATGCCTTTTTGCCTCTCACTGCTTCTTTTACTTTGTTGTTTAGCCTTGGTGGCCCTTTTTTGGTTCTCTTACTAAGGGTTTTTTAATTTGGGGTATATATTTCAGTTGAGCCTCTATTATAGTGTCTTTAAAAAGTTTCCATGCAGCTTTAAGGGATTTTACTTTTGGACTATAACCTTTACTTTTTGTTTAACTAACTTCCTCATTTTTGTGTAGTTCCCCTTTCTGAAATTAAATGCTACAATGTGTGGCCCCTCTGGTGTTTTCCCACAACAGGGATATTAAATTTAATCATATTATGGTCACTATTACCAAGCTGTCCAGCTATATTCACTTCTTGGACCTGATCCTGTGCTCCACTTTGGACTAAATTGAGAATTGCCTCTCCTCTTGTGGGTTCCAGGACCAGCTGCTTCAAGAAGCAGTCACTTAAGGTGTCAATAAACTTTATCTCTGCATCCTGTCCTGAGGTGATATGTACCCAGTCAATATGGGGATAGTTGAAATCCCCCATTATTATTGAGTTTTTTATTTTAATAGCCATTCTAATCTCCCTGAACATTTCACAGTCACTATCACCATACTGGTCAGGTGGTCGATAATATATCCCTACTGCTATATTCTTATTATTAAAGCGTGGAATTATTATCCATAGAGATTCTATGGTACAGTTTGGTTCATTTAAGATTTTTACTTCATTTGATTCTATGCTTTCTTTCACATATAGTGCCAGTCCCCCACCAGCAAGACCTGTTCTGTCCTTCTGATATATTTTGTACCCTAGTATTACTGTGTCCCACTGATTATCCTCATTCCACCAAGTTTCTATGATGCCTATTATGCCAATAAACTCATTTAATACGAGGCAGTCATCTTTGTTGTTGCTTAACGTTTGGTAAATGTACATTTCTTTCCTCTGATCAGCCCCAGTCTGACACCCCTGCCCTGACCAGCCAGATTTACAACCTGCCAGTAAAAAATACCCAGATTCTCCTCACTCACAATTGCAAAACTCACTCACCTCCCACTCACTGCAAAAGGAGAAAGGTCCTGACCTCCACTTCTCTGAATGGGGAAATCACTGACCCTTCCCTTTTCAAACTGCAGAAGCCAACTTACCCCTTTCCTCCTTGAGTTGGGCTGCAAAAGAAAAACAAAAGAAACACTTTTTAATATATGTACTTTATTGCTTTCAAATTAATGGCCCAGTACGGTTCCCAGTGTAGCCAATGGAAGATGACACTGAATTCAAAAAAGGAAGGCTCATGTCTTGGAATAAGTGATGCTCATTTTTTCTGACACCACCACTCTGACCCCATGTGATTGTGTACTTAAATGGAACCTTAACAATTTCTTCATGAATTTGTTCTGTGAAAGAGGCACAGGGTCAGCACATGTTATATGAAGGGGATACATTTTTCTCATGTATCTGAGTGTAAAGGACATAAAGTCAGTGCAGACTTACTCATTTGCTTCTGAACATGAAATGTTACAATAACCTCAAGATGCTTATTTTTCAATCCAAGAAAAAACTGTACTTTATATTTTCTGGTAAAACTTTCATGACATTATCAGGTGCATGACACTAAATATGCAGGGGTTGGGAGCAATTGGGAAAAGTAGAATCAAAGAGGTGCATTTTGAATGTAGCTGGGAAACCTGAGAGGTTTGGACCATTCTGGTTTTGTGTAGGATTGAGATCTGTAATCTGAATCCAGCTTCCATGCAGTTTAACCTTCTATCTCACAAGCATCCCCCTATTGGCTCACAATGTCCAGGCTCCAGTGGAGCATAGTAGTCAGTGAGGGTCTCAAAAAAATAAACAGTCATTTCAAAATGAAAAAAATGAAATGTTCCATTTTAACAAGATGGAAACAAAAAGTTTTGACTTCACTGAAACACAATGTTTCTTTCTTTTTCTCCTCGCTCTACTCCTTCCTCCACCCTGTAGTAGAGAGAGAGAGAGCCTGGAGCATGGGGCTTGGTGCCAGACCTGTGGCCTGAAACAGAGACCGTGACCCACGTCAGGCCATGTATTAAAGTAGATGTTTACAAGTTCACTGTCCAGTACATGAACTTGTCAAAGTTGTTGCTCGTGTGCTAGGCACAAAATATTTATGTAAATACATTCCACCTACTACAGACACATCCCAATTTTATATAAGATAAGATGGTTTCAGACAACAATGAATGGAGATGTTTTGCTCAAGATACGACGAAGAAGGGGAGATACAAATCAGATGTCACAAAACATATAAGTTGTTTGTCCCAATTGTTTGTCCCAGTCTATTAGTGTCAGGGTACTTCGCCTTAACCCTTTGTGTAGCCTGGGGAACAGCAGAAAGTCCCATGGCTCCTTGCCACTGGACAATCATGTGTTAGTGAACCCGAAACCATGGAGCCAGGGTGCTAAGACTGTGCCTTCAGGGCAATAAACCTGGCCGAGTGCCTTTGTCACTGAACGATGCCTGTGATCTTTCTTTATGGTTAACACTGAGGTATGCATCCAAAGAAGTGGCCTGTAGCCCACGAAAGCTTATGCTCAAATAAATTTGTTAGTCTCTAAGGTGCCACAAGTACTCCTGGTTTTTTTTACTGAGGTATTCTGAATTAGCAGGCTACATTATCTGCTAGTGCTCCTAACACCAGAGCTCCATGGACAGAAGCACTGAGCAGCCTGAACAGCGTTACTGAGGCAACGACATTACACCCTTCAGCACTTAACAACAACCCTCTAAATTGTTTTTTTTTTTATCAAAATACACATGTTTCCATGGAAAGTTTCTGAAAATCCCTTCATCTGGTACTGAATACACTGGGCCAGAGAACAGACTATCTGGGTTTTATGTCCTGCTCTAGCAAATATTCCTGTATGACTATCACCACTTCCTTTGCAGGGGGATTGTCAAAGAGCCTCCTCTGTGTTCTGCACAGGATGTGGGTTACGAGTTCGGAGGAATCTTTCTGGGGAAGACATTTCTCCTCCCATCCCTGAGGCAGCAGGTGGGGTGTCAGCATGGCCTCAGCTACAGCTTAGGCCCAGCTCTAGCAACTCTGTCCTGCTGCACTCCAGATTCAGAGTTTTGTCCTACAGGAGATATGTTCAGTTACTGGAGCTCATACATGTTTTTGCTCATTCCTGACTCCTTCAACCTCTCCTGTTCGGACCTTCTTTGAAAATTGCTAGTGAGGTCTCAGCTCCATGACATACATGATTCCAGAGGCCCCTATATGAACCCTCCTCTTCCCAGACCCAAGAGCCATACAATAAGAGAATCCCTGCTGCAGTCAGAGCTGTTAGAACCCATAAAGGGCATGCAAAGTTGGGTCTGTGGACTGTAGGTATTCAGTAAAATAGGCAAACTCACCAGTTTCCTCCTGGAGTTCCTCTGCAAAAGAAAAGTAGGGACAAAAAGAAAACAGTTCAGCATATGTCCATGCAGTTAAAAATTGAAGAGGGTGAATGAGATCATTTCTCTCTCCTTTCTGAGTAGCATAAATATCAGCCATAGTTAATGAAGAGCATAGACTATTCATAAGCTAGTCAATCTGTGGGCTAGTCCCATGCCCTTCCCCCTAGCTAGTAGAAAGACAAGATTCCCCCAAGCATCTGTACTGGTACCAGGGGATCTGTAAAAAGTGGTAAACTTGGTAAAAAGAGTACAGTTAGGGGGTAAACTTTGCAGATGATACTAAATTGGTCAAAATAGTTAAGTCCAAAGCAGACTATGAAGAGTTACAAAGTGGAAGGAACAGCAGCTGGTAGGGAGGTCAGCAGGTGAGGAACAGCAGCTGGTAGGGAGGTCAGCAGGGGAGGAATAGTGGCTGGCAGGGAGGCACAGCCAGCCAGAGCAAGTGTTCAGATGGCAGAGCCAGCAAGGTGTCTTTTCCCCCAGAGGGGAGGTGAACTCACACAGATGCACCTCTGAACCCTGGGTCCTCCAGGACAACCACTGTGAGTGGTGTATAGTAAAGAAGCAGAGAGGGGCACAGAAAAGGAACTTTTCATTGTAGAACTCAAGAACATGAGGCTGCCAGAGACGAGGGAGGCCAGGAAACTGCTCTGGAAAAGAGTGTCCTTGTATACAAAGCCCAAGACTCATGAGCATGAGGCCTCATTTCCCATCAGTCTGTGGAAATTTCTGTCTGCTTTACTCTCCGCTTTGTGAGGTGAGAACTCTCCGGATACCAAGGAAACACCCATGGGAGAGACTCCTGGAGCTCCCAGCAGAGGTTTCCCATAAGAGGGGATGATTGGGCCCTTCAGTAGAAATTATTCTCCTTGGCACAAAGAAGGTATTTATACTAAAGTTGTTATAAAAAGTTGTGCTGTGAAGCTAGAGCTCACTGCTAAAGATTTCCATAATGAAAAGTCACTCTGTGTGATTGGCTCTCAGTCAAAGCAACTTCACTCTTGCCTTCCTGCCATTGTTCAGCAAAGGCAGAGACTTCTCAATGTGTCACCCCTTTTGTCTTCATTTTTTCTTCAAATTTTCTACCACACTTCCCTCACAGAGGAAATGTCAGGCCCTTCCCGCTTCAAACTGCAGCCATCGGAGAAAACTTACGTTTGTCATCCCACGGTTGATCTGGGGGGAAAAAAAGTAAGACCATAAGAATGGCCCTATTCGTCAGACCAAAGGTCTATCCAGCACAATATCCTGCATACTGACAGTGGCCAATGCCAGGTGCACTAAAGGGAGTGAACCTAACAGGTAATGATCAAGTGATCTCTCTCCTGCCATCCATCTCCACCCTCTGACAAATAGAGGCTAGGGACACCATTCCTTACCCATCCTGACTAATAGCCATTAATGGACTTAACCTCCATGAATTTATCTAGCTCTCTTTTAAACCCTGTTATAGTCCTAGCATTCAAAACCTCCTCAGGCAAGGAGTTCCACAGGTTGACTGTGCGCTGTGTATTATGTGAACAAGTAAATAACTTTTCATTATTCACTTTCTCCACACCACACATGATTTTATAGACCTCTATCATATCCTCCCTTAGTCTCCTCTTTTCCAAGCTGAAAAGTCCTAGCCTCTTTATTGTCTCCTCATATGGGACCCTTTCCAAACCCCTAATCATTTTAGTTGCCCTTCTCTGAATCTTTTCTAGTGCCAGTATATCTTTTTTGATATGAGGAGACCACATCTGTATGCAGTATTCGAGATGTGAGCATACCATCGATTTATATAAGGGCACTAAGATAATCTCTGTCTTATTCTCTATCCCTTTTTAAATGAATCCTAACACCCTGCTTGCTTTTTTGACTGTCGCTGCACATTACATGGACGTCTTCAGAGAACTATCCACAATGACTCCAAGATCTCTTTCCTAATTACTTGTAGCTAAATTAGCCCCCATCATATTGTATGTATAGTTGGCATTATTTTTTCCAATATGCATTACTTTACATTTATCCACATTAAATTTCATTTGCCATTTTGTTGCCCAAGCACTTAGTTTTGTGAGATCTTTTTGAAGTTCTTCACAGTCTGCTTTGGTCTTAACTATCTTGAGTAGTTTAGTATAGTCTGCAAACTTTGCCACCTCACTGTTTACCCCTTTCTCCAGATCATTTATGAATAAGTTGAATAGGATTGGTCCTAGGACTGACTCTTGGGGAACACCACTAGTTACCCCTCTCCATTCTGAAAATTTACCATTTATTCCTACCCTTTGTTCCCTGTCTTTTAACCAGTTCTCAATCCATGAAAGGATCTTCCCTCTTATCCCATGACACCTTAATTTACAAAAGAGCCTTTGGTGAGGGACCCTATCAAAGACTTTCTGGAAATCTAAGTACACTAATCCACTGGATCCCCCTTGTCCACATGTTTTTTGACCCCTTCAAAGAACTCTTATAGATTAGTAAGACATGATTTCCCTTTACAGAAACCATGCTGACTTTTGCCCAACAAGTTATGTTCTCCTATGTTTCTGACAATTTTATTCTTTACTATTGTTTCAACTAATTTGCCCGGTACTGATGTTAGACTTAGACGTTAGGTCTGTAATTGCCGGGATCACCTCTAGAGACCTTTTTAAATATTGGCATTACTTTAGCTATCTTCCAGTCATTGGGTACAGAAGCCGATTTAAAGGACAGGTTACAAACCATAGTTCATAGTTCTGCAATTTCACATTTGAGTTCTGGTCCCGGTGACTTGTTACTGTTCAGTTTATCAATTAATTCCAAAACCTCCTCTAAAGACACTTCAATCTGTGACAATTCCTCAGATTTGTCACCTACAATGTACGGCTCAGGTTTGGGAATCTCCCTAACATTGTCAGACGTGAAGACTGAAGCTAAGAATTCATTTAGCTTCTTCGCAATGACTTTATAGTCTTTAAGAGCTCCTTTTGTATCTCGATCGTCCAGGGGCCCCATTGGTTGTTTAGCAGGCTTCCTGCTTCTGATGTACATATAATACATTTTGTTATTACCTTTTGAGTTTTTAGCTAGCTGTTCTTCAAACTCCTTTTTGGCATTTCTAATTATATTTTTACATTTAATTTGGCAGTGTTTATGCTCCTTTCTATTTACCTCACTAGGATTTGACTTCCACTTTTTAAAAGATGCCTTTTTATTTCTCACTGCTTCTTTTACATGGTTGTTAAGCCATGGTGGCTCTTTTTTTAGTTCTTTTACTGTGTTTTTTAATTTGGGGTATACATTTAAGTTGGGCCTTTATTATGGTGTCTTTGAAAAGTGTCCATGCAGCTTGCAGGGATTTCACTCTAGTCACTGTACCTTTTAATTTCTGCTTTAACTAACCTCCTCATTTTTGCATAGTTCCCCTTTCTGAAATTAAATGCCACAGTGTTGGGCTGTTGAGGTGTTCTTCCCACCCCAGGAATGTTAAATGACATTATATTATGGTCACTATTTCCAAGCGTTCCTGTTATCATTACCTCTTTGACCAGATCCTGCACTCCACTCAGGACTAAATTGAGAATTGCCTCTCCCCTTGTGGGTTCCGGTACCAGCTGCTCCAAGAAGCAGTCATTTAAAGTATCGAGAAATGTTGTCTCTGCATTTCGTCCTGAGGTGACATGTACCCAGTCAATATGGGGATCATTGAAATCCCCCACTATTATTGTGTTCTCTATTTTGATAGCCTCTCTAATCTCCCTTAGCATTTCATCATCACTATCACTGTCCTGGTCAGGTGGCTGATAATAGATCCCTATTGTTATATTCTTATTAGAGCATGAAATTACTATCCATAGAGTTTCTATGGAACATCTGGATTCATTTAAGATTTGTACTTCATTTGATACTACATTTTCTTTCAAATATAGTGCAGCTCCCAGACCCCGCACGACCTGTTCTGTCCTTCCGATATATTTTGTACCCCGGAATGATTGTGTCCCATTGATTGTCCCCACTCCACCAGGTGTCTGTGATGCCTATTATATCAGTATCCTCCTTTAACACAAGGCACTCTGATTCACCCATCTTATTATTTAGACTTTTAGCATTTGTGTACAAGCAGTTTAAAACTTGTCACTGTTTATTTGTCTGCCTTTTTCTAATGTGTCAGTTTCTTTTTTTATGTGAATGTTTCTTGTCTGATGTGGCCTATACTTTATCCTCTTCCAGACTCTCCTCCTGACTAGAATCTAGAGAATCTCTATCAATAGACTTTCCTCTAAGAGAAGTCTCTGTCCGATCCACGTGCTCCGCTGTAGCAATCGGCTTTTCCCCATCTCATAAAAAATGCTCTGCAACCTTCTCAATGTTAAGTGCCAGCAGTCTGGATCCACTTTGGTTTAGGGGGAGCCCATCCTTCCTGTATAGGCTTCCCCATCCCAAAAGTTTCCCCAGTTTCTAATAAATCTAAACCCCTCCTCTCTACATCATCATCTCATCCACGCATTGAGACTCTGAAGCTCTGCCTGCCTACCTGGCCTGCGCATGGAACTGGAAGTATTTCTGAGAATGCCACCATAGAGGTCCTGGATTTCAGTCGCTTTCCTGGCAGCCTAAATTTGGCCTCCAGGACGTCTCTTCTACCCTTCCCTATTTCATTGGTACCTACATGTACCACGACCATCAGCTCCACCCCAGCACTACACCTAAGTCTATCTAGATGCCTCGAGAGATCCGCAAACTTTGCACCAGGCAGGCAAGTCACCATACAGTTCTCCCAGTCATCACAAACCCAGCTATCTATGTTTCTAATGATAGACTCTACCGTTACTAACACCTGCCTTTTCCTATTGACTGGAGTTCCCTCCCCCAGAGAAGTAATCTCAGTGTGAGAGGATACCCCAACGTCATCAGGAAGGAGCGTCCCAACTATGGGAAGGTTTCCCTCTGCTCCCGTTGACTGCTCTCCTTCCCTGAGCCTTTCATCCCCCTTAACAATGCAGGGGTTGTCCAACCGGAGGTGGGACATAGCTACAGTATCCTGGAAATCCTCATCAACCTACCTCTCTGCCTCCCTTAGCTCTTGCAGTTCCACCATCCTGGCCTCCAGAGCCCGCACTTGGTCTCTGAGGGCCAGGAGCTCCTTGCACTGAATGCACACATACGCCAGCTGCCCACAGGGCAGGTAATCATACATGCTGCACTCGGCGCAATAAACTGGATAGCCCCCAATCTGGTGCTGGGCTTCTGCCTGCATTCTCTCCTACAGCTACCTAGGTTAATTATAGGGTTATTGTTTAAATCACAAAATGTGATTATAGTTTAAGTAAAAGGTTTTAAAGAATTGCAAGTGTACCTCGCCCCCTTCCAACTCCCCTTCGAAACTCCCTGTTAGTGGCCCCTATTTGCAAAGCTCCCTGGTCATTTGCTCACTGCTTTATAAATCCCTGGCCTTCCTAATAGCCCCACCCTCTGACTAAGGCTCAGCCAATGAACAGAGTCGTCTAGATTTCAAACCTTGGTTAGAAGCTCACAGCTTCCAACTGCCGGCCACAGCACATAGTTCTTCAAACAAAGAGACAGACAGACAAACACAAGCTCAGCACACAGCAAGTAACCCCCAAACACAAACACACACTACAGACAGACACTTACCCCAAGGGTCCTGTATTTGCTCCTCCTTCACCTGGAGAACTCCCTTGCGTAAGTCCCGGTTAGCAGCCCCTGTTCACAAAGACACAAACACATTTAATTATATTCACTGTATGATCTGATGAGGAGCCTAATCCTGCTCATTCTCATGTAAATCTTTTCATTGATTTCATTGTGAGAAGAACTGGGCCCTTGATTATGTTATTATAATTCTCTGGCAAGAGCACAACCTGATATACCTTCAAATGTATGATTGTAAAGTTCACGTTTTCCCCTGGTTCTGTTCTATAAAGCAGACCCAAGGGTTTGCACATGTGATTCTGTCCCAGAAGAGAGAGGCCTCAAGGAAGACACAGGAAACCTCCCTCATACAGGTTATAGTGATACAAAATCAGTGCAAGTCTAGGACCAGATCCAAATTCACTGAAGTCAAGGGGAGACTTTCCTTTCACTTCAGTGGATTCTGAATCAGTCACTTGACACCAGATTCACAGAAGAATGTAGCCATCTCAGTGCCTCTTTTGGTGCCTAAATGCAGCATTGAGGCATCACTGACATTCTCAAACCCAAATCTCAAGTACCAATTAATCCCGTAGGTGACCAAAGTCCGCATGGTGTCTACATTTCTCTGGTCAGCAGGCACAAAGCCAACTAAATCCCGATGCAGCTCCACAGCTAATGAGCAGCTTGGAGCTCTCACTCACATGTAATCCCCAGCGGCCACAAAGTGGTATTCACAAACTAGGTGTCTCCCTGTCTATCCTGCAAGGGTGGCTGATCTCATAGCCTTGGTTAGAGCTGGCCAACAGGCTGAGGTCTGCACAAAAGAGAGGGGGTGTGCTTGTCCCAAAATACCCAGTAGCCCAATTACAAAGGGATCTGACAAAGCCAGATGAGTAGGAAACAAATTGGCAGATGAAATTCAAGGGTGATAAATGAAAAGCAATGAACATTGGAAAACATAATCCCAAATACACATACAAAATGGTGGGGTTTAAATTAGCTGTTTCCACTCAAGAAAGAGATCTTGGTGTCATTGAGTGGATGTTTTCTGAGAATTATCCACAATGTGCAGTGGCAGTAATAACAGCTAAAGGAATGTTAGGAATCATTAGGCAAGGAATAGATAATAATAAGAAAATATCATAATGCCACTATATAAATCTATGGTACTCCCACACCTTGAATACTGTTTGCAGTTCTGGTCACCCATTCTCAAAAAAAAAAAGAAAAAGAAAAAGAAAAATTGGAAGAAGTAGAGAGAAGTGCAACAAAAAATGATTAGCGGTATGGAACAGCTTCCATATGAGGAGAGATTAAAAAGACTGGGACTGTTCAGCTTAGAAAGAGACGACTAAGGTGGGATATGATAGAAGTCTTTAAAATCATGAATCACTGAAGAAAGTAAATAAGGAAGCATTATTTACCCCTTTACATAACACAAGAAACAGGGGTCACCCAATGAAATTAATAGGCAGTAAGTTTAAAACAACAAAAGGAAGTTCTTCTTCCCAGAAAGTACAGTCAACCTGTGGGACTTGTTGACAAAGGATGTTGTGAAGGCCAAAAATATAATAGGGTTCAAAAAGAAAAAAAGAAAGAAAAAAAAAAGAATGAGATAAGTTCATGGAGGATAGCTCCTTCAATGGCTATTAACCAAGATGGTCAGGAGATGCAAGCCAGTGCTCTGGGTGTCCCTAAGCCTCTCACTATCAGAAGCTGGGACTGGATGTCAGGAAATGGATCATTTGATAAATTGTCATGTTCTGTTCATTCCTTCTGATGCATCAGGTACTGGCCACTGTCAGAAGACAAAAAGAGGATCCTTGGCTGGATGGATTGTTGATCTGACACAGTATGGATGTTCTTATGTTGCTCCCTAGAGCCTTTGTTCCCTGTCCCCAGTAAAGATCCCTGTGTTATACTGTTATTTTTGAGTGTGGCCTTTCATTTGTTGGGACTTGTATTAGTGTATTGTATTGTTCATGTGCTGGGTTATATCTTGTAAATAGATAAGTAGCATTATTCATTTTCCCAAGAGACAGCACCCCTGTGTCCCAAGCACAGACAGGAGTCACCTTGAGTGGAGGCACCAGGCGCTGAAAAAACAATCCAGGACCCAATGCATGCCAGGAGGGGAGACAAGCCACTCTGATTAGCAAGCAGCAGGGAGGAGCCTTAAGCCACATGCAGGGGAAGGGGGCTACATGAAATACATTGTTGGCATTTCCCTCAGAGAGCTGTCTGTGCAGCAGGAAGGACTGAAGGATCCTCTGACTCCTGAGAGGCACAACAAAATTGTCAGGGAGTGCAGGGGATGGGAAATTCCCCTGCTGCCAGTGACAGGTTTGATTCTGAACCCAGGCTGCTGTCGGGCAGAGGTACCCCTCCCTTTAGAGGGAGCTCTAGCAAAATGAAGGAACACTCACATACCACATTCTACACTAGGGATTAGGTCAGTATAACTACATCACTCAGGGGTGTCATACCCCTATATGTGACATAGTTATACTGACATAGATAATAGATCTGTAGTGTAGACCTAACCTAAGTTTCCTAGAAAGTTAATGGGACTTAGTCTCCAAAGTATCTAAGTGGGAGGTCTAGGTTGGATATTAGGAAAGTATTTCACTAGGAGGGTGGTGAAGCACTGGAATGGGTTACCTAGGGAGGTGGTGGACTCTCCTTCCTTAGAGGCTTTTAAGGCCAGGGTTGACAAAGCCCTGGCTGAGATAATTTTGTTGGTGCTGATTTCAAACAGGGGACTGGAATGGATGACTTCCTGAGGTCTCTTCCAACCCTAATATACTATGATTCCAAAAGGAAATACACCTCCACGTGTCACATATTTGTCTTAAGAACATAAGAATGGCCATACTGGGTCACACATAAGGTCCATCTAGCCCAGTATCCTGTTGCCCGACAGTGGCCAATGCCAGGTGCCACAGAGGGAATGAACAGAACTGGTAATCATCATAAAGTGATCCATCCCCTGTCACCCATTCCCACTTTCTGGCAAACAGGGCCTAAGGACACCATCCCTGCCCATCCTGGCTAATAGCCATTGATAGACCTATCCTCCATGAATTTATCAAATTGTTTTCTGAACCCTCTTATAGTTTTGGCTGTCACAATGCCATCTGGCAAGGAGTTCCACAGGTTGACTGTGTGTTGTATGAAGAACTACTTTCTTTTATTTCTTTTGAAACTGGTGCCTATTAATTTCATTCCATGACCCCTACTTCTTGTGTTATGAGAAAAAGTAAATAACACTTCCTTATCTACTTTCTCCATACCAGTCATGATTTTATAGATCTCAGTCATATCCCCCCTTACTTGTCCCTTTTCCAAGCTGAAAAGTCCCACTCTTATTAATCTCTCCTCATATGGAAGCCATTCCATACCCTAACAACAAGGAATGTGGTGGCACCTTAAAGACTAACAGATTTATTTGGGCATAAGCTTTCGTGGGTAAAAACCTCACTTCTTCGGCTGCATAGAGTGAAAGTTACAGATGCAGGCATTATATACTGACACATGGAGAGAGGGG